TCAGGGCTGGTATCCTACAACATGCATAATCTAACTGTCAAGATATCAAGTCGATAGCAATTCCCCTCCCATAAATCTGTCGTTTTTTTTTTTTGATCCCCCTCCTCAGGAAGTMATGCCAYTGGGGAGRATAACCAAGTTCTGACCAAAATTTATTTTTGCATACATACTTATTCAGAATGGTAGCTTCCATCAGTTAACTTTTCTCATGGGCCTGAGTTCATTACCCATTATTTATGAATATGTTTTTACCATTAGTAAGATACGTGTTAAATGTTTACAGTGATTTTTGATCCAGCTACATTTTATGGACATCACGAATATGATATTGCTTCTATTTCATTATTTGGAGGTATTTCTAAAGAATTTTTTGAAGCATATTTTGAAAAAATACCAAAATCTAATGGATTTGAAAATAGAAAGCTATTATATCATTTGTTTCATTATTTAAATCATTGGTATGAATATATTATCACATTATTCATTATTAAATGTTATGAATAAATCAATATTATCCTATCATTTATTATTTTTGTTTAGGAATCATTTTGGAGGAAGTTATGTTGACTTAACAATAAACACATTTGAATCATTGCTTAATGCTTATTCATAGTTTGATTTTWATATATCTATTAAGACTTATGAAATCTAATTTTTGTAAAATATTGAAATAAATTTCTCATAATATATGAAAATATTCTTATAAACATATTCCATTTCTTTTTAGCACCTTTAAGAAGATAAAGTCAAAAACTCGTAATAATATTAATATTTTATTTGAAGAAGTGCAGATTTTTATCTATCTTATTGTCATTATGTCATTTATCAATTATAGTTAAAGTTATACCTACTACTAATACCAAAAAAACTATAATAACTTTAAATTAATTTAAAAAAAAACTGGTTTAGATTAGTAAATTTCTATAATATCCCTCGTTAAATGGTTATTCCATAGTGGAAATTCTAATTGATAAAAAATGACTATGTCATTATCACGGTTATCTACCGTGGTCATTATCATGGCTAAAATTAACTACTATATATAATGGAAAAATTAATTTTAATTTTAACAATGCGTGTACATGGTCATAATACCTTGTTACGTTTTCAAAAAGGTTAGTAGATACTAGATAGTTATTGTGTAATTAACTAGCAATATAATAATTATTATAATGAGTTTCAGGAATACTGTATTCTAATAGTTCATTAAGAAATCTCTTAAATGATTTAAAATTAAATTATCCAAGTATAAACTATATCATAACTAGAAGGTTAAACCAGGATATTTTGGAAAATGTATTTAGCTACCTTAAAGGAATGGTTGGGTCAAATAATCATTTAAGACCTTTTGGTTTTAAACATTGATGAGTGGTTAATAAATAATCAATACCTCTACTGTTTTAATAATAAAAATATTTACTAGAGAATATGGATATTATTATTTTTATGTACCAGTTTTAAATGGTATCTATTAGGAAAACATGCCTACATAGCTTTCAGTGTAAATAATAGAAATACCGAAGACAGCAATGATGAACGCCTAATTGGAACTGAATGCCTCACTGGAATTATTCTTCAGAAAGCACAAGTGAAACCTCTTCCAGTTAATTTGTCAACACATAATCTTATGGCAACAATAGTCATCTTTAGGTGAAATTTCTGTTGAATTTTCTGATGAACTGTTATACTTATCCGATCATTTTGAATAAGAGGTACTTTAAACAGTAAAAAAAAAWAAACAATTTCAAATATAGTTTAGCTCAATTTTGTTGAAACATGTTTTCAGTGTGATAATACTTGATAATACATGCAATTGACATGGACGTGTTAGAATTACGTAACTGGATATGAGGCAAAAAGATTTTTGACAAAGTACCCATATCTTGGTGAAATAAGTTCATCTAAAAACAATGAAGACAATACAAATTGGACATTTGTTTCAAAAGGACATTTAATTATATCAACTCAAACACTGATGACACCTGCCAAAAAAATTATGGTTGAATTTGACAAGTTCCATGCGGATACATTAAATGGCGATGAAAATATTATGGAAACATTAACCAAGACAGTAATGGCAAATCTTGAACATAAGTTATCTGAAGAAGCCGTCAGCTACCTAGTTCGAACTAGAACTTTTATCCGGTTCAATCAAATAAATAAAAAAAATTAGTGATAATGTTCACATCAAAAACATTAATAAATTCAAAAAGTTTATGGTCTAAACAAAAAAAAATGAATTACTTAAATAGTCAAGTCATGTAGCACTGTATCAGATAAATGATTTAGTTATATTATTTTATTTAGGTACGGAAATTACCAATAACACTGAAATACTGAATTGTAGGTAAATATAGTAATACACMTAGACCTAGTCAAGGTGTGTTATAATTTATAGAAAGTAAGTATACATAATTATGAATAGTACATTAATATATATTATATACCTACTGTCAGCATATTAGCATTGAGTTTATTGGAAAGGTTAGGTTAGGTAAGTACCGATGGGCGATAACCATGACAATCAATTTTGAATTTATTAGTATAGGTAGTGTATAAATATAATAATATATCATACGATTTATATTTTAAGATAAACTATATTGRATTTAGGTTAATTAGTCATATTTTGAAATTGGCGGGAAATAAACATGATCATCAGGAAACGGCGTAACATGGCGAGTAAAGTTAAATAATAAAGTTGCGYAGACCGAGTTGACAACATACCATTACCATCACCATTCACCATGTTATTTAGCCATGGTCATTATGTAACATAAAACATAATTTATGTTGTTAACTATTAAGTTCTTACTTCTTACTGGAAAGTGGCAATAGTGGCAACTCAATTAACTTATGTTTTTGATTTAAAATGTGTATGTGCACTGTGCACTATGTAATTCTAAACTCTACAAGTATTGCACTATTATTGTGCAATTGTTTATTAAATCAAAATTTGACCTCGTAAAAGGGAAATAGAGTTCATTGGTATGAGTCAGATATATACAGTGGCGGCACCAGGGGTGGGCCAGAGTGGGCCCGGGCCCGCCTTAAAAAGTCTCGCCCCCCCCCTGTGGCCCACCCCAAAAATTAAATTTAATCATACTAGAATACTAAAAAAATATCTCCCGAATAAATCAAAATATGAAAATTTTAAATCATAATAGATGGCGTGAACAACATTTTGAAAGGGTTGAAAACTAAGCACTATGCTTTCAAACCTCATAAATAACGTGTATTTTCCAGCGGCTGAATACGAAAATAATAAGTTATACTTATACTAGTTATTATTAAATGTTAATCAATAATGTTATTAATAATTTTGTTGAAAATTCCATGAACAACGGGATTAGATTATTAACCAACTATGATGAAGAAAATACAAGAGAAAGCATTCTAGTTTTATATACTTTTGATGAATATACTTTTACAGTTTTACATGAATATATATTTTGTTAGGAAATAAATACTATTAATACATGTTTACAAATCATTGTTTTAGTAAGTTAACACGATAAAGTGTAAAAAAATTGGAAGTTGACCCGCCCCCTCCCCCTTCTGCGCAATTGCCTGTCGTCACTATTGTTTATATATATTATAATATATCAAGTCAACAATTTGGCCCTCCCTAAAAAATGTGGGCACCAGCTTGGCCCACCTGGTATTAAAATTCTGGAGCCGCCACTGGATATATAAAAATGTTACGATTACGAACACTCTTAGAAATTAAGCAGCGCAATTAATGCAATTTGATTAAATACAATAATACTGTTCCAATTCACTGAATACACCTTTATTATATCCGTCCATAGTTATTTGGCTAATTCACACTATACTACTATAGGATTTTTTGTTGTTAGTAGAGCAAAGTTTTCCCCTTAATATTAGCTATTTTCTATAAACCATCATAATACCATGGACCTATGAGGTGCTATAAACTTATAATTGTAGCATATAGGTCTATTATTCTTGCCATGAACAATTTACTACTTGCAACGTGGAAAGATATAGACAACACACTAACACAGGCGTGCGCACGGACGTGCGCAGGCAGACACTTGGGAACACATCAACAAATTAGTAACCAAAAGTGTAAGATGAAAAATATCATGCTCATTAATTTTAGGGTCATTTATATCTGTGGGAGAGGGGCATATTTTATCAGCCGCATAGGTACCCTGCAAACAGTGCAAACAAAGTCTGTAGGGGTTGATATGTATTATTACTACAACGAGTACAACGACTATACAAGTGTACAATAAAATAAATTATAGGATTATGTTCTCTAATAAAAACCATAAATATTTAGTTTGGTAATTTTAGCATATTTACTGCAGACTGTAATGTAATGTATTGCAAGTT